GAAATGCTGACAACCTGTTGTTGAAGGAAGATGTGGATAGAAACCCTGGACCACCTAAGTTGTAGATACAGTTGAATCCTCCCTGCCAGTTCTTTGGAGCTGGTTCTCCTGCCAAAGCACTGAAACAACCAAAATAATAATAAAAAATAGATATATCACTAGGGCTCTATTTGAGCCCTAACTATTCCACAAGCGAATTTCCGCAGACCAAATCAGTGTGCTTGCATCCTCAAATCCAATTGGCTGTGTTGGAATGGGAGGGATCCCAGTAATGTCTTCACGTGAGATTCTGTAGGTGTCCTCTGGAGATTAAAATAAAAATTTAAAATTATTATTGAGAGCGCATATGAGAATTACACATTTTTATATTGTGGCAGAGAATTTGCTTGACGCTACGGCAAAACCAAATCTTGCTTTTAACAAAGCCACTTAAAATAAATAAATAAATAATATAAATTGTTTTACCTTTGGCAGCCAAATATGGTGTGAGTAAATCTCCAAAGTCTCTGCTATAAGCACCTCTTTCCACACCAGTGGGTGGCAGATACCAGGAGTGTGGGTACGTTTCATTGGTGTCTGACTTCAGGCCATCATTCATGTCCAGAGGGTCTGTGTACACCAGCAACCCAACAACACCATAGGCTGCTGCATTGATAGCCTGCATCCAACACACCACAACATCTGGTGAGCAACTAAATTTTGTTCAAATTATTTGCATACTTAAATGCAGAGAAGTCACTGTTTGGCAAAAAGTACTTACACCCGTGGAACATTTACCAACTTTTTTCCACAAAACAACAAACTTCAGCATAATTTATTGGGTGGCCTTAATTAGAGAAACAGTGAAGAATGGTAACTTTAGAGCAGCTGAAAAGATCCACAGCATCAAATGAAAAATCCTTCCATGTGTAACATTAAGTAGTCACGCAGTCAATAAATCTGCCTTCTACTGAAGCAGCCATTTTTGAAAGAAAACAATATAAAGTCAAATTTTAACTCTGCAGTATTCAGAAGAAGGTCTGGCCAGGTGAGACTGAAACTAAACTTTGATCTGCAAGAAATGTTAGATTTGGAAAACAACTAACACTGCACATAATTCAGAACACAAAAAAAAAAAAAGTTCTGACATGTTTTATGTTACCCTACATTGTGTATTACAGATTGTCAAGTATTTTTAGATAACGCACCAGAAACAATGGAAATAAGAACATCTGGAACGCAAAACTAACATTAGCCTGAACAGTGAAACATGGCAGTGGCAGCATCACGCTGTGGGGAAACTTTTTTCACCATGCTTCGAGGAAAGTTCAGTTTATTGCATAGATAAACTGAGGATTAAGTGAGTTTCTTAAGAACCTTTCCATGTGTTTTGTTAATGGACTGATGAGGGGACATTAAGTTTCTGCTAACATTTATAGGGACATTGTTGCTCTGTAGTGTGAAAAAACCCCCACAAAAAAACCAAATTCCACAAACAAGTAAAACTGACCTTTTGCCCTCTCCCCTCTCCACCATATCTTGTGATTGCGATGGTTCCTCTTAGGTCAATGGTCTTGTTCAGGTGTTCAAAGTCACTTGGTTTTCCCTGATTGGCAAAAACCAGTTTTCCCTAAAGCCATAAAAAAATAAATCAGCCAAATGTTCCAATCAATCATACAAGTTGGACCTAAATAGTTTTGCAGAAATGTTCTAAATGCTGTGAGTCATTACAGATAATCTCTTGGCTCAATCTCCCTATCTTTATAATGAATTATAACTAGAGATTTAAAAGATCTTTATGGCCTTGAAGATGCTTATCTGCTGAAAAATGAAGGTCTGTGGTTCCAATAAAACAATAATTGTAACACAATATGAGGAGCAAACTGTAAATAATTAAGCAATGTCTGCCTTTTTCCCCCATTGCTCTCTCCTCATATTGTGCGGAGTTAGTTCATGTCCACAACAATTATGTGTTTTGATTTTGGTACATAACCAGCTATGTACATTTGCAGATTTTTGTCTGGGAATATGGAAATTATTCATTTTATAATTAAACAATCACATCAGTGAATGTGCTTTAGAGAATCTTCTGCCTAAATAGTCCAAAACACAAAGGAATAAAAAATTACATACCATCACTAATTTGAGCGGGAAAAGAACTTTTTAGGCATTAATCTTATTTAATTATTTTTATTTAAAGGAGAATCTAAATAACCAGCAGTTGTCAGCGATCTTATGATTCAGTGACAGATGCCGCTTTTATCCACAGTCGCTTTTATCTAGTTTATGATGAGGACAGTGGTAAAAGAAGTTAAAGGATGAACTTGAAACCTTATAAACTAACAAAACGAAATCAGATGTTGAGTAATTAAAAAAATATTTATATTTTACAACATTTAGCTGATAACTGCAGTATGTTGAGCATATAAAGACATGCTTTGTTCTGATAATATTCTTAAAAAGGTATACAGATATGAAGTCAGTATATCAATATCTTTCTACAATATGCTGATATACAGCATAATATACAGCATATCGTAGAAAGATATGCTGTATCTTTCTATGATAGATACAGCATATCTATCTTAGATTTTAATCTGTCAGATTTTAATCTGTTTCCAGTCAAAGTTATAAACATCATGTAAGTTTAACTATTTTGGTAAGTTACTTTTACAGTGATTGTTTTACTATAAATGTGAATATGTGGCTACTTATTAAATTTGTGTATGGTCATTTTGTCCAGAGAAGCCTTAATCAGCATTGCTTACTTGGAATTGTTTAATTTTTACTTGCAGGGATCATTCTTAATTCTATTGGTGATGAAAATAATAAATAAAGACTTTTCATTTGTAGCAAATATTACACATTGCACTAATCATCGGGTCTTTTTACCTCTGCATGTCCTGCCGGAGAGTATGCAGCAAATGGCTGAACCACCTCAGGATCATTCTGATCAGCAGTGTAGCTCACTTCCCTTTCTCTCACGGTAAATAGCACGGAATTTGATGAGTTTACTGAAATAAACACATTACAATAATCTGTATTGTGAAACACATTGCAAAGTAGCAAATAAAATCACAAGCCAGACAAGGGAAATGTTCACATACGGTGGGCACCGTGTTTCACTCACCAACAGTGACTTTGTTGGGGGTTTTGGGATTGGGAAATGAAAGGTAAATCTTATATTCCTGTCTCCAGGCTTCATCCAGACCAGTTTCTGGATCTTGCCATCTTTTTAGCACATACTTCACCGTTTCCTCATCGCCAGGTGATGTGGCCATATGAGGCACTTTTGTCAATTCCCTGCACAGAAACATGTGGATAAGGAAAGTCTGAGTTGATCAAATTTGTCTTAAAAAGCCAGGCACATGTGATAATATCTTGACAGACCCCCAAACATATCAAACTTTTTTTTTTTTTCCCAATTTGGACTGCAGTGCTTCTTTCACCTTTAATGTTTATTGTTTGCTGTTTAATGCCTTTTGTAATGGCATATAAAATAAATGGCACCAAAAAGTAATTCAAAGAATTAAAGAATCGTATTACCTAAGATTCTCCTGAAGTTGAAACGTTTCCACCTCAGACAAGAACTTCTGGATGACGGCCTCGTCCACATCCTTCGCCACATCATTCACCCAGGATGGTGCAGAGTTCTTTTGTATACCAAAGTGACCGATTAGGATACCAATAGTCAGTACGACAGCCCCACACAGAGTCCCAATCAGTGCCTCCTTTAACATCTTCCACAGTTTAAGTCCCCTTTGGATCTACTAGAAAAGTTCCCAAAGTGATGTTTCTTTGGCTCTGAGCGCAGCTGATGAATCCAGTTTTGTCACCCTTTATGGCGTGTTGCTGCTCATAAAGCGCAGTCATTGTAAAGTTTACTTATTAATGATTGCCAATTGGATGGACTTTATCCCTTCTCTTGTGAAGGGATAAAGTCAACATGGACATCCTTTTCATCTGTGTTATAATTGACCTTTTTTTGTGTAATAATTGTATTCCTATTCTATTTGGTTTGTTCCTATTACACCAGTTTTCTGCAAAAATCTTCTGAACTTCATTTATCTTTTGTTTACACAACAAGAGTTATACTTCTTGCTATTTATTCATAATAAACATTACGGGGGAAAATTAGCCCAATCCCAAAATAGCTGGCCTTAAAATGTGTGCAAAATTGTCTGCAAGATAAATGGACATCACTGTACAAGAAGAGCTCCACATCCAAAAATCGCCATCAGCACCAAAACCAAAAGGATTTTGAGAATAATAATAATAAAAAAACACATTATTTTAACCAGTACGTATAGAACAGTTTACCTTGAAGCACCAGAGAGAATGTCAAATCTTTCTGGTAAACCCATGGACTGATGTCCAGCCATCAATTCACATCTATTGAATTGATATCTATAGATAGATTTCAATAGATATCTATCTTCCACAGAAAGACTTTTCCATACATATGTTGATGAGTGCCTAAACTTCATGTTTAAGAGAGATTTTACCCTCCTGTAGTGAGCAGTAGCTTTACAGTGTACAGAGACTGCTGATGGTTTTCTGTTTTTATAATACGTATTCTTTTTTTTTTGAAGGTACTTTTTCAATTGATATGTTTCTTAATTTTGTAGTTAATAATTTATTATTTAATTGCTTACATTTTATATTATTAGCTTGTGTTAATCTTCAGGTTGGTGACCATGTTCAGTTGTTCTGAACGACTTACAGCAGTTTCCATTTGCCCTGTAAAAATCAACTTGAGTTCACCCATTCAATCATAGTTCAGTTTATACGAGCTCTTATTTTTATGACTCAACTTTTAGCATAACTTAGACTTTGGAATTACACATGAAGTCAGTCATTTCGAGTTAAATGCGGGCAGGACAAAAAAAGCAAAAATAATTCGATGTTTTTGAGGAAAAATCATGGAAACTATAGTTCATAAAGCCTGGTGAAGAGAATCCGATAAACACGTGGAACTGTTCTGCTGCCAAAGCCCGGACCGTTAAAGTGTGACACACGACGGAAGTAAACAAAAAATAGCATTCTCGTTAACGGATCACATAAAAATATGTGGCATTTTTAATTAAGCAACAATGTCTTCAGTTGAGTGTTTGAGGCAGTTCGTCAATGAGCGACTGACGGCCGCGGCTCAGGAAATCTTCAGCGTGTTTGAAAAAACTATCTCTGACTACGAAGAAGAGATCAACCGTCAGCGCAGGCTGCTCACCATCGCATGGAAACCTGAAGTTAAGTTGCACAAAACAGGTTTGTATTGAAATGAAATAGCGCGTGGTTACAACAAATGAAAGATTGTAACGTATAGATTACGATTAATTTCATTTCGGGGTTCACGTCGGTCTGCAGCACCTTATAGAACTCCTTTGCCATCTAGTCTTCATCTATAGTCCTTATGTAGAATTAGGTCTACTAACGCGTTATAAATGTGCTCAGGGAAAAACATCCTAAACGATGGTGTTTGACAAAGATTGGTGGAATCAAATTTGGTGAAAAATGAATGCGCTGAATGAAAATCAATAGAATAGAAATAAATATTGTGTATATCAGAAGATTATATATGTTCAGCAAATACATGCTAAGCTAAAGACTACTGAAATATATTAGTGTGTGACAGTATTTGGTGATTTAAATTTTTTTTACATAAGGTCAGATAAAATTTAAAAATTGATGAGCTGTCAGTTCAGTCTAATTGAGCTATTTTTCAAAAAAGAATCAGCAGAAATCTAATTTACAACCTTCTAGCTCAACAAAGTATTAATTCAGAGAGAAATAACATACCTGCCACTCTAAAACATGAAATGAAAAGGTTTTCTGTAAATAAACTTAGCTGTAGTCACAAAAGAAATGCACTAGATTTTTATTTAGGGGTGTCAACATAAAAATGTATCCTGTATAATTTAGATTTCTATTTTTCAACCTTTTGATAGCTCTTTTTCTTATTATGTAAAAAATATGGTTTTGTAATTGTTTCAAATATTAATAGATCATCAAATTAGTGTTTTTGGGATAAGCATGTTTCTATTTTTTTTTTGGATCATCTGTTTTGTATTCGTTTTCAATCCAGAGCTCCCACAAGATTTTATTAACGTGGAGGACATTCCAACGGAGCTGCAGCCTGGACAGGACAGGAAGTCTATTTTGGAAAAAAAAGACAGAGAGCAAATTCCAGAGAGCCATGAAGAAATCCTCACCCTTCCAGAGGAAGGAGAAGTTGAGCTGAAAGAGGAAGTTGAAACTCTTTTCCAAAGTATTACTTGTGATGAGGATTACAATGTTATCTTGTCAAATCCCGTGAATGAAGAGTCCACAGATACAGTTTCTGTTAAAAGTGTAACAGAATGCAATACTGATGATCAGCTTGTCTCTAGATATTCTCAAGAAGTGAGAAAAGGCCAAAATGAAGGAAATCATAGCGGTTCTGTAATAACCAGACGCATGGAAACAAGACTGCAGAGGAGGCATCACAGAATCAGTGAACATAGTTCCATCAAGTTCAACACTCCTATTTACACTCACAAGGGGAAAATATGCGAGTTTGTGTGTGAATACTGTGGCAAAGCGTTTCCATATAGATCCAGGCTGATTCGACACCAGATCATCCACACGGGCGTGAAGCCGTATTGTTGCCACACCTGTGGTAAACGATTTAACCAGACATCAATCCTGAAGGTCCACCAGCGGATTCACACGGGTGAGAGGCCGTTCTCCTGTGACATCTGCGGGAAGCGCTTCAACCAGAAGTCCATACTGAACGTTCATAAGAAAATCCACTCAATTGAGAGGCCGTTTTCCTGCGATTTCTGCGGCCGAAGGTTCAAGCAGAAATCAAAACTGGAATCTCATGTCATATGGCACTCAGGTAAGATTCCTTGTCCTAAAGTTTAAATGGAGACTGTAAAGTCACGTGGTATTCTTGTTTTAAATTTTTTATATTTTATACACTTAAAAATAGCTATGGGTCACCCTGCTATATGGATCATATCCAAGATTTTTGTCTTGGATCGACTGCTCCTTTTTTTTTTTTTTTTTTTGCAAGTCATTCATAAAATTATTGTTTCTATTAGTGCACTGTTATAGATTGACTTTTGACTATAGCTAATTGATAAATTGTGACCTGATGCAACATTTTTGGCTTAAATTTGGACCATTTTAAGAGTTAAGCTCAAGGATTCAGAAATGAACATCAATCAAAGAAACTTCATTTGAAGTGCACTTTTGTACAAATGCGTAAAAACTAAAAGCAAACATGCATTAAATCACAGCAATTATACAGCAATTATAAGAGAATTATAAGAAATAAAATCACTAAAGATATCAAACTGTTACAGAGGGTAATGAGCTGAAGAACTAAGACATAAGACAGTGAAATCCTAAAACTTTAAACAGAGTGCAAAAAAAATACATGAAAGAATGAAATATGCTTGGTACAATTAAAATAATAAAATAATACAGTATAGTCAAGTCTATAAAGTTTGTTACCATTTTTAAATCCAAATTATATTTTAATTACCTTCATTTTTTTGCGTTCTCTTTCAGACATACCGCAGCCACTTTTACTTAAGGAGGAAAGTTTTCTCTCCGAACAGCAGCTCTTTAACCATGACCATCACTCTGCGTTGGAGTTGGGGTTTACAAAAGTCAAAGAGGAACAAGAAGACAACTGCTTGGCCCAGAAGGAGCAGCTTGTGTTTAAGCAGGAGACAGACATGTTCATGATCACTGTTCCTCATGATGAAGGTCACGATCACAGTGTGGCCCAAACACTCAACAGGAACTCAGAAGAGGAAGAGACGGTTGAGATCATATCAGATGACAAAAGTGGGAAACAACTGGAGAAGACGCATCCCAGAATCTGTAACGTCTACAATCCTATCCTGTTCAAAACTTCATGCAACTCTTTTGTCGATAGAAAGTGTGAATATAAATGCAATACGTGTGGGAAAGTGTTTCAGTTTAAGTCCAGACTGATAAGACACTTCCGAATCCACACGGGCGTGAGGCCGTTCTCCTGTCACATCTGTGGCAAGAGGTTCAACCAGAAATCCATCCTGCAGGTCCATCAGCGGATCCACACTGGCGAGAGGCCTTTTTCCTGTGACATCTGCGGGAAACGCTTCAACCAGAAATCCATACTGAACGTTCACAAGAGGATCCACACGGGCGAGAGGCCATATTCCTGCCAAGTGTGCGGCAAGAGGTTCAACCAGAAGTCCATACTGGACGGCCACGTCAGGACGCACACAGGCGAGAGGCCGTACTCCTGCAAGACATGCGGCAAAAGCTTCAAAAGTCAGTCCAGCCTGCTGGTTCACATGAAGATGCATGCGGACAAGAAGACCTACTCCTGTGAAATGTGGGAGAGACTTCAGTCTTAAACACACACAGGTTAGCATGTACAGCTTTAGCAAACCTGATGGGAGCATTTTGATATAAAGTAAATAGTAAAAAAAAAACATATATATAAATGTATAAAACTTTGCATGTAGCAGAAATCTTCCATGTTGGTAGTAGAGCAGAAGTTGCATGGTCAGGGCCTTTGCTGCTTTCTCTGAATTTTATTTACGGTATATTTTTGCTTGATAATCTGTGTAATTTCTTAAATATTGCAAAAAATATTGTGTTGCCACATTAGCATTGCTTGCAATTTTCATTCTGCTGCAAAGAAAGAATTGCTACTTCTGCGAAGTAGATACATAATTGCTTCCCTGATGACATAAAATACTCATTCTTAACTAGCGTGTTGTATGCTTAAGACAGAAATAGACTGAGTTGTGGCTGCCGTGGTTATTGTTATCAGGTAAGTGCGCTTATCGTCTTGCTACTTGTGTGTGCATTTTATTGTGTATAAGCTATATTTATACAGCATATAAGCATATTATTCTTGTTTCAAGGTCAAACACAAGGTCAATATTAAGCATTTTCTTAATTTGCACCCAAACACTTGTTAGTATCGGCAAGAAGACTAATTGAAAAAGGTGGTCACAGTAACAAATAATTGGGACACAGACTATTTAGTTAAAAGATAATTATTTCTGAATGTCATTTTCTTTCCCTCTCCACTTTGTACTCCAGGTAATGATTAGACTTTCCGAATATTTTCTTTGACATTTTTACATTGCAGCAGAAACTAAGTATTTTCTTTTTTTTTAGGCTTTTTGCACATGTGTACCAGAAGTGGAATTAATTACTGTTTTGGATAATCAGCGTGGGTTCGTAACTATGTATTAGAATGCATCAGAGGTTTTTGAAAGTGCTACTAACAAAACAGAAATAACACCACTGAAACTTTTATTTTTGAGAGCCAGGTAACACTGCCACTTTGCCCTCACACTGCATTAAAAAAAGATTGGGGAAACTGGTAAAAGTACAATTGTGAGGCTGCAGAGTAGGGCAAAGGTGTGGAATAGAATTTGGGATTAGTTTTATTCTACTTCATTTTACTTTCATTGTCACCACTTGAACTGTAAAAACTGGCCTTTCTGCAGATCCGTCTTCAAATATAGATGTGTCCTATAACAATAAGATAAAAAATGTGTCCAACGCTTTCCCCATTTGATTTTTTTTCCAACAGAAATGAATTCAGACCAAGTGCTTGTCTAACAAAAGAGTAGGTTTAGTGTAAATATCTTTCAAGATTTTCCTGCTTGGATGAATGGATGTTTTCCTTGATCTTAATGTTAATTCATTTTGAACCTTTTTCAGCATCTTGTTTCAAATCCTTTTTTTATTTAGAAGGCACAAAATACACAAACTGACATTAAGTCTTGTCTGTAATACAATTTTGTAGTCAAAATGTCAATATGATGTTTTTTGAGGACTTTTTTATTGTTTTATAAGCCAAACAGTTTTGTTTGTAACATTCTATTCATGAGGGAAAGTGGAATTACTAATGTGGGATTCCTGAGTTAATGAAGCTTACATACAGCTTTGTGTGTCTCCTATAAGGGTGTATGGACCTTGTATCAAACAGCGTTCAGGACTAATGTGTCAAACAGCCGTGTGTTTGTTGAACCAATGAAGGAGGTGGGACTTTTGTAACGTGCCAAAATAAAGAGAATGTAGGACATTTGAGGAACAAGGAAGATGAAATATTTACAGTTCTCATATAAACTTCATGTTTTTTCAATTGTGGAAGTCCTGATGAGTTGTTATATTTTTAAATCTGTACTTTTAGTATTTGTTTGCACCAACAAATGTTTATTTTAATTATTTTGTTCGCAGCTTGTGATCTGATTTGCATTTGAGTGCTATGTGTGATGCATTTCTGATTTATATCATAATTTCTGAAATGATAGCTTACTATCATTAGATGTTACTACAAACCAAATGGACTAAAGTGTTAAAAGAATATACCCGGGCGAGTGCCTGAATAAAACTTGAGGATGATTCAATTTTTTTCTTTTCTTTTATTTCATGTACCTTATAACTTATAATTATTGAATTTACTGATTTACTCTCATCCTTGTCTTATTTTACTTAGGCACAATGCCCAGCAACAATTGGCTAAAATTTCTTGCTACTTTGGGGCAACTCATGTTGTTTTAAACACATTTTTATAAAGGGAATCACACACTAGATCCAAGTTCTAGTTTGTCAAATAACTTGACACAATAATAATGTTTTCTATATGACCATGTGGTTCCCTGATTTAACATATGACATATAGACAAATTCCTCCCACCTCTGGCTACTAAAATGTTTTTTCACCACACAGTGAGCTGGGGGGGCAAGTGGAAAAATCCAACTCTTATTGTGAAAGAACCGCAACAAAGAGCTACAGCTTGGGGTGACCAGTTCTCCACACCAATCATTAGATACGATTTTACTGTTCAACTTATTATTTCAACTTATTATTTCAACTCTTCAACTTATGCCAAAACATGCCTTTCCTATTCTACCTAAAAGTGTGAAATATGGAGGTTGAGCTAAAATTATGTTTCATATGAATATATTTTAATTAATGTTTCTGGGTCCTATTTATGGGAATAAGTGAAGAAAAAATCTTATTCCAAAGGCAATAAAGACAAAAATATATTACTGAAGAGCTACTTAAAATTATTAAAATTGTTATTCAATTAATCAATTAGTGCTGAGAGACACTTCAGCGATTACTCAGATATCAATTAAGCTGTCTTTTTATTATAAAATAATCGTTTTCGGAATAAAATTACAGTTAAAAAACGAAGGTTTTCGGAGTGAACAAGAAAAGTGCAGCGAACCATTGAATTGTAACTTCCATTCCTTAACGGCAGGTGGCGCTCCGAGCTCAAACATGTTTTTTTTTCCTGTCACCTAAAGTCCAACGCGGAAGTAAACAGTAGACTCCAACCAAGTTGGATCAACCGTTCGGGTTGCTGATTAATTTTCTTATGTAAAGTGTATTTATGTCCGTTTTGACCATGTATCCAGTTCAAAGTATGCGCAAGTTTGTCTGCGATCGCCTGACTGCGGCAGCTCAGGAGATCCTGGGAGCTTTTGAGAAGCGAGTAGAAGATTATGAAGCGGAGCTCGCTCGGCAGCGCAGGATGTTGGACATGGCTTTTTCCCCAGAGATGAAGTTACAGAGGGCAGGTTAGTCACCGGGTTCTTAACTAACGAGAGGAAGTTAGTGGACATGAACGTGATGAGTGCTCGGTCTGTTTTCTGAAGTTAAATTTGTTGCGTGTTCGTTAACACCAGTTGCTCGTTGGACCCGTTTGACAGGTCTGGCACGACATGTGGGTTGGTAACAGTTTCAAGGACAATTCTCACTCATTCTAAACATATTTAGTGTGGTGCTTCCTGATAAAGTAAGAAATTTCGAGATTAACATAAAAATGACGCAATAACTAATTGTATATTAAATGCGGAAGTGAAGTGATGGATGATGAATTCTCCTGCAATTATAATGTTGCAGAGAATTTTCTGCGCACCTTATGTCCCCAAACTCTATTTTCTAATGAAACTGGAATGTTAATATTTTGTAGATATGTCGAACAAATAGTCAGTATTTATTTTTATTGTATTATTTTATCAATGACAATTAAATTTACCTTCAGGCATGCATGTGGATTCAGCTCATCTAAGTCGATACTTTGCGCAACCACTTTTTTTTTTTTTAACCACAGTTAGAAATGCATACAGTTTTGGATATTTCTCTTGTGTCAATGTTGTCCATTGTTCTTTTCTAAATATCTTTAACTCAGATTGGATGGAGAACATCTGGAAAAAGCAAGTCCATTATATATGAGTTGGATCTTTGACTGAGCCATTCAAACCCACTAATAGCTGCAAATGGCTCTGGTTATATGTTGAATGCTTACATTTCCAGGATGATGAACGTTTACCCTAATCTAAAGTTTAGCCTCATAGAAGTTTTCTTTCAGGATGAGACAGTATTTTAGCCAGTTTCCCCTGTACCTGCTAAAGAAATTAATCCTAAAGCAAGATGTGAAAATATTTTATCTTTTCTCATTTCACATAAACAATTAATCTTTTTCGACATACAGCAGAACTTTAAAACAATACAATTATTAAATTAAAACTTTCCATTATAGAAAGTACTAGTGATATTTTTCAACATGTTTTCTTTATTTTAGATCTCTGTGTATTGATCTTTTCTTGATATATAGTAACGCATCAGCCTTTGTAATTTTCTAGGTTAATTTTCAGTAATTAAAAACAACTTTGTGATTATGACAGCAGTAAGTCAATATTACAATACACAATAATAATTCATTCTGAGTTTGACCCATGACATTCTTCTTTCTTCACTGATTTCCAGTTGGTAAATATACACATTTAAAGGTCATAGCCTCTTTAAAAAAAACTGTATATTTATACAAAAAAGTAAATGTTTTTTTTGAGAGCTGGAGACATCATGCAGCCCTTAGAATATTCATTTCACAAAGTGCTAGTTTGCTTTCCTATAGTTTTGGTTAGCGAGGAATTCTACTAAGTATTAACAGCTTAAAGAAACAAAACATTTTCCAACATAATTTTGTAAAAGGTTATATGAAGTTGTATCTGGCCAACTGATTTTTATTCTTTGCTTGAAGGAAATTGATGTTGTAATTAGCCTTCAGTATTGTACTGTATATTTTTCAGTGTTGAACATTTACAGTTTTTCTTCATTTTTAAGTTTGTTTTTTTTATATATCTTTTCAGAGATGAAGGCTCTCCTAAATCAGCAGCAACACGGCAATAATTATGACGTGTCCAGATTTTTACCAGATACTGTGCAGATTAAAGATGAGCATGAGGAAATAAGCATCAGCCAAGAAAGACCGCAACCTTTGCAGCATCGACAACGGCAGCAGCCTTTGCAGGATCAAGAACGGCAGCAGCCTTTGCAGCATCCACAACGGCAGCAGCCTTTGCAGGATCAAGAACAACAGCAGCCTTTGCAGCATCAAGAACAGCTGCAGCACCAAGGAAGACTGCAGCCTTTGCAGCATCCACAACGGCCGCAGCCATTGCAGCATCAAGAACAGCTGCAGCCGTTCTTGATGCGGGTTTTGCATCAAGAAAGGCCGCAGCTTTTTCAGCAACAAGAACGTCCGCAGCTTTTTCAGCAACAAGAACGTCCGCAGCCTTTGCAGCAACAAGAACGACTGCAGCCTTTACAGCAACAAGAACGACCGCAGCCTTTACAGCAACAAGAACGACTGCAGCCTTTACAGCAACAAGAACGTCCGCAGCCTTTGCAGCAACAAGAACGTCTGCAGCCTTTGCAGCAACAAGAACATCCGCAGCCTTTGCAGCAACAAGCACGGCCACAGCCTTTCCAGCAACAAGAACGGCCACAACCTTTCCAGCAACAAGCACGGCCGCAGCCTTTCCAGCAACAAGAACGGCCACAACCTTTCCAGCAACAAGCACGGCCGCAGCCTTTCCAGCAACAAGAACGGTCGCATCCTTTGCAGCAACAAGAACGGCCGCATCCTTTGCAGCAACAAGAACGGTCGCAGCCTTTGCAGCAACAAGAACGGTCGCAGCCTTTGCAGCAACAAGAACGGCCGCATCCTTTCCAGCAACAAGCACGGTCGCATCCTTTGCAGCAACAAGCACGGCCGCATCCTTTGCAGCAACAAGAACGCCCGCATCCTTTGCAGCAACAAGAACGCCCGCATCCTTTGCAGCAACAAGCACGGCCGCATCCTTTGCAGCAACAAGAACGCCCGCATCCTTTGCAGCAACAAGAACGCCCGCATCCTTTGCAGCAACAAGAACACCCGCATCCTTCGCAGCAACTAGAACAATCGCAGCTTTCACAACTGCAAGAAGTCCCAGTCTCCACACTGACTCCAACTCCTTGTCCGAATACCACCAGTGGTCAGTCACAGCCATCAGGTCCTGAAAAAGAGAGCGGAGCAAATACAAATCTTACGTCTAAGAGCTTAAACAGCGTCATAGAGTCTGGATGGAAGGAGGGGACACCGTCAGTGAGTGAGCAACATCTCTCTCAAACTTCAGGTGGAGCCGGAATCCAACATGACAATACAGGGGCATTACCAACTGATCCTGCAGCGCCAACTTCAGCTGAGAGGACCCCAGTTATAGCCACAAACTCAGAGGAAGCATTTGATGATGCATTTTATGAAGACATCTTGAATGAAATTGATGACAATACCTTTGCACTCTCCAGTATGAGTCCTGAGCAGTCATTAAATATGAGCTTTGATGATTTAAATGAAACGTCAACCAGCATTACAGAACAGACACAGTTGGGGAAAGATCATGTTGGAAGCTCAGTGTTAATAGGCAGCACTGATCTAACACAAAACTGTAATACTGAATTCACAACGCTAGCTTTAAGCAATGGTGCCACACCAACAAGGATGTGTACAGGTTACAATAACAGCTCAACACCTGGAAGAAACTGTGAAGCAAGTAATAGTCAAGATAAAGATAAAATTTTAACTAGAAGTATTGAGCCAACTCAACCTGAGGTGAATCAAGGTTGGAGACCAGAGTCTTCCATCCTGACTGTGCTGACACCAATTAATGAATATCATAAGGAGACACGAGCCACAACTGAGATGGCAAAAGATCAAGGCAGGAGAGCATTTAGTACTAGCAACCAAGATAAGAGCACAACATTAGCCAATTCTGCTGAGCTGACTCCAAGCGAGAAAATTCGAGAAGGAGTAACAGCAATGGAAAATGTTGATCAAACATCACAGCATGAAAACCGTGATATGAGTGCACTGGCAGCCAAAAGTACAGAGCAAACATCAAGTCAGGGTGATATCAAAGAGTCTGTGACATCGACTGATAGAGCAGAATCCACCTCAAAGAAAAAACATAAAGAAGATCATGGAAGTACACACCCGGCATCAAAAACAAAGTCAAAAAATGGGAGAACACCGACTTCAAAAAGATTGCTCAAAAAACCCAGACAAGAAAGCGCAAAATCAACTACAGATAAAACTCTCAGTGAGAAGACTGCCGCCGATCAACACACAGATTGTAATATAAAACCTCAAGAGGAGGAAGAAACCTCCAACCTAATTTCAAATTATGGACAAAACGATGAACATGGTGGCAGCAAAGCATCTTCTACTGGAGATGTTGAGATGATTCAGAGTGACCATGGACAGAAAACAGACATAGTGCCAAGTAAAACATTAAGTGATAGGAAAAAGGCAGCCCAACATTCTAAGTCCAAAGATAAATCAATAAATCAAAACAAGGAAGTAACTAAAGTTGGAAAACCTCACAATGAAGACACACAAAGCATGGAAGCAACATCAACCAAGAGAGTAAGGGATGGTCAGGGTTCTGAGTCGCCGCAAAAAAGGATGGCTAGAGATGAAGGTTCCTCATCAACTAGAAGCAAAGAAGTCAAAAAGTATGACACACGCAGCAAAGAAAGCACAACATCAAATCAAGATCCTGACCCACCTCTGTCCAATACCGATGACAGCGAATCAAGCGAAGGAGAGGAGAAGGTGGAAAATCCCTACAAGTGTGACAGATGTGGCAAAGTAATGTCCAACTTCAAGAACTACAAATTCCACATGAAGACTCACACAGTGGCAAAGACCTACAAGTGTGATACTTGTGGGAAAATGTTTAGAGAGAGCTGGGACCTGAACAAGCATTTGGTCATCCACTCCGCTGAGAAGCCTTACAAATGTGACGTCTGTGGAAACGGTTTCAACCGCCGCTACAACCTGGACCTGCACCTCCGGGTACACACGGGGGAAAAGCCGTACATTTGCAACACGTGCGGAAAGACATTCAGCTCGTGCGTCAATATGAAGAAGCACATGAGGATTCACACGGGCGAAAAGCCCTACACGTGCAAAGAATGTGGCAAAGAGTTCGCGGACTCTTCCGCCTTCAAAAACCACCTGCGGGTGCACACGGGAGAGAAGCCCTTCAAGTGTTCCTACTGCAAGAAGAAGTTCGCCACCAGGACGACTTTGAAAAGACATATCAGGACGCACACGGGTGAGAAGCCGTACAAGTGCACAGTTTGTGATCGAAACTTTGGCCACAGAACTGACCTGAAGGGCCACATGAGGATGCACACAGGCGAGAAGCCTTATAAATGTACTACTTGTGGAGAGGACTTCTCCACCTGGTCAAAACTTAACAAACACAAGCGGATCCACTCAGGTGAAGCACAAGACTCCACTGAATAACATGTTACGTTTATTGTAAGGTATCTGAATAGCAAGTGAGGAAACTTGAGACAAGTCACAAGATCTCAAGTGGCTGTAGCTTAGTTTTTAATTAAATTTATTCAACAGTTCAGGTATAACATAAGTTTTCTGCACAATCTTGAAAAAACTGTCTTCCTCCTTTCTTTTCCTTTCTCTATTTTTTTCTTTTCTTGTTCCTCTATTGTTTGTTTTTTTCATTTCCTTCTTGCCTTCCTTCCTTAATTCCTTTATTCTATGTCTATGTCCTTCATTCTATCCTTAATTTATTTGCCTCCCTCATTGTTTGAACTTTAATGTATTTTTACTTTCTTTTGTGTGCCTCTTGTTTTTCTCCCTTCATTTCTTCCTGTCTTCCTCTCTTGTTTTACTCCTTATTTCCTTCCTTTCTTTCTATTTCCTATTTTTCCAGGCTCCGTATTTAAATATTTAAAGCCTGCTGCCTGCCTGTAGAAAAATCTGCTGTTTGTTCATAATGAACTTTTAGAATTTGAAATTTTGAAGTAAACATAAGATATTTAGAATTCTGAGAATTTAAGTTTAGAAATTTTTACATTTTTATGTGGAAAATATTTAGAAATCTTGTAAAAATGGCAAACATCATCAGCTATGGTTTTTCTGAAAAATGTCACAGAATTCTGTGCCACTGAAAACGCTGTTAGCTGAAAATGACAACAAAATGGAAGAAAAAAAGATTGTAATGGACTGTTATCATCTCAGGTGGTGGTGTGATAATGGTTGTATTTTTTATTTTTTTTTAAAAAGATGTTTCCTTTCATTTTTGCCAGCTTCCTAAGGACTTAAGAACTATTCTGCCAAAGCATGGACCATTATAATATCCTGACTGTAAAAAACATATAATGATTAAAGGTGCTGAGGTACTAGGTATTTCTTAAGACATAAATTCAAATTCAAATATACTTTATTGATTCCAAAGAGAAATTAAATGTTGTTGTAGCTCATTAGTTCAGACTTACTGTATGGTATAAGGACTTATATGTAAAAGGATCAAATAATAATTCACATCATCATTTTGCATTTAAGCAGCATTTATTCCTTTTGCTGTTTAAATATTTTAACATATTGAGGTACAGTAATTATCTCATTTTAAATCTCAATTTTGAACTGCATACTCCAGACAATATTATTGTTTTTTGCTGTTCTACTCTTTGTTTTATTATCCCAAAGGATTTTAATTTCGTGTGCTGCCTTTACTTGATTTCTGTTTTTCTTTGCTGGTTTATTCATAATGTTTTATTATTTAACAGCAGTTGAGATACAGCTTCATCACTGGCTGGTGACATGTTGCTATCTCAAAACCAATTCAGTTTCAATCATGTGAACATATTTAGCATTGAATATTTTTTGTTTTATTTTCTTGTGTGTGATTTACCAGAGATCTTGGTTCTCTCTTTATCATTTATTGCTGTGTGAAAAAGAATGCTTGAATAAACAACTGGAAACTAAGAGACACTTAATACGAGAGAAATAAGATTACAAATTGTTGTATTCAGTTTTATTTTGTGTGCTTTTGAATTCCTGTGTGATGTGTGCGAATACACAAATATTATTGTCTTAGAAAAATGTCTGTTTTCAGATGTTGCTTTTTTCAAATTAGAATACATATATATATATATATATATATATATATATATATATATATATATATAATATATATATATATATATATATATAAATTGATAGTCTATCTTCTAGTTATTCTTTTGTAAGCAAACAGTTCTTTAATCCTGCCCTGTACTGTCCAGTATGGCTTTATGTTAAAGCAACCTAAGTTCTCATGATGTTATAAAGTAATACTACTATTTATCCAGTAACATGATCAAACTGCCCTTTGTGGTTAGCTCTTTCTGTAGCATATTTCTTTATATAGCCAAAATAGACCTAATGTTTCACTGAGGTGCATAATGCTAAGATCTGAGTTTGTAAATAGTACTTCAACAGGTAAGTGTTAACATGTAGGTACAAACCGCTTTTTGCACCAAGTCTGAACAATCTTTCTCATTTGGAAATTTTTTTTCACACCTTTGGTAGAGTGAAAAAATAAATTAGTCAGTGTTCTTTTTTTAATGTGTTGCTGAAGTTTGAGGAAGTTGATGAGAGAGAGAGAAGCTTGCATATCAGTACAGGAAGTTGAGAGCAAACTGGCTCTCAACTTCACCGATAAGTTTGAGACCCTAAAGTTAAAAAAAAGAAAAAAAACATTTCAACTTACCTCACCTTATCAAAAATTGTCCTTTTTACATAATTTTGTGCTTGCAAAATGATGTAAGAATTCAATTAAATCCAATTGAACATAAATAAGAATATCTTTAAATTAGTTCTAATATAAAATTAAATTAATGAAATATTTAATAAAATGATAAAGTGCAACAAAGCACAGATCTGGAAACATGTGTTCATTAAATGTGTTCTCTGCAACAACAGGAACCAACTGTAAAGCAGGATTTATCAGTCATGGGCCCCTTCTGCCCTCGTGTGGTTCAATATTAATTTGCACCCTTTCTTTTTTGTACAATTAAAAAAAAAAATTAAAAAATTAGTAAGAGCAAACTTGATTTTGACAGTGAACAACTTCTGATAATCGGATTAAACCAATAAGCAGAGGAAAGTTGAAACCTCTAAAAATCTTAAACACAAGTTGCTGGGGTGTTCTATTCAGTTAAAAAAAATACTATTAATCCAAAAGCAAAATTAAACATCGCTATGATGTATTTCACCTAAGCTTCTCTAAACATTTGAAAGCTGTGGGATCAGAAGGTTCTAATGTAGCAGTCAGTATTACAGCATATTTGAAGATGGATCTGATTAAAACAGCGCTTGCATGGCATTCTGAAGAAGAGAATCTCAGGATTGTCAGTGATAAAATCAATTTTATAAAGAATCAACTTTCTTTATCAAATTGCTGAATCTTCCTAAGTGACTTCCTGTGATGCAGCTTTAAGATCTTGCGACAAACACTGAAGGATTGAAGCTAAGTACGTCCTCATATTCCAGTCTGCTCTCCCCTTCATCACTGTTGCGTCTCCAGTTCAGGCTGTTATCCAGGTAAACAGTCATGTATTTACTCTCCTTGTTTTTTTCGTGGTGAAAATAGTGCTGGATAAATTGCTGCTTCTCTTCAAACCTACAACCTCATATGATTTGTTCACATCCATGAAAACCTGTTTTCCTTGTCCGTATCTGATAGAACAGACAACTGCAGAGCCATCCAGGTATTTCAGTAGATGACAGAACTCAATCTTGTTCTTGATGTTTGGTGTGTCGAGAAATGTTTGAATGTTGAGAGTGCAGTTTCCTGTGATGCAATGTGGTAAAAAAAATCATTTTTGATACTTGTGGTCAAACTTTTCCAGCGCATGTGGGAGTGACACATATTGTGGCATTAGAACAAGATTCTGAATGCATGTTGTACAACACTACAGTATATTTGTGTTTTGGCTGTTGAGAACACTTCCAAGTAAGTTTAGAGATTGTAAATGAATCTCTGTCACAAAGTGTTTCACTGTATATACAGTATTTAGGGTACTTTGTATACAAAGTGATACAAACTGATAACGGGGAATAGCTATCTGTGTGTGAGACCACCCACCTTTCTCTGCCTTTATATTTATCAGGCTGTGCTGCAGTGCCTCCAGAGCAGCAGTGAGTTCTTTGTCAGATTGGACTACAAGCAGCACACAGGTGGGTTCATGAATCACCTACATTGCGTTTGTGCAGCTGGCTGCAGACTTTCACTCTGAGTACAACCATCACCTTGAATACCCATACCCCTGTAGATTAAAGATGAGGCTGATGAAGGAGTTGTGTGAGTGGCTTAGAGATGATCGAAGAGCTTGTCTAAAAACAACAAAACAAAAAACAGCGCCTTTCAAAATTCTTCATACCTCTTGGACTTGTTCAGATTTTTTAAGATGAAAACCAAAAGGGGTACGAGGCAAAGAATGATATTGTGATTTAGAAGACAAATCAAACATATTTATTATTTTTTAATAATACAAAGAGAGAACTGTGGCAAGCATTTGCATTCAGTCACCCTAAATGAACATTTTGTTGAACTGCTTTTCTCTGCAGTCTGAGCTGACCTTGTGCATATGTGTCCAGCATGTGAAAACAGCTATTATCAAGCTAAGGTCAAACTACATCAATTTCCCTATTTTCTCAGAACAAATTTCCTGTCTCTGCTGAAGAAAAGCCGCCCCACAATATGATGCTAACACCACCAGATTTCACAGAGAGGTTGATTTTTTTCAGAAAGATAAGGGGTCATGCTAACCAAATATTTTCCATATTTGACTTCAGATAAATCTGAATATCATTTGTTATTTTTGACAGATTACACTTGGTGCAGACGTGCAAAAATTGTCAATATGCATGTAGTACAATGTGGGGTTAACTTAATCAATCAAAAACCCATAAATTTCCATCAGCACCATCTCTGACCTTCTCACTGTACTCAATTCGTCTCGCTATTCAGAAGCTACCATGATGTCGAAGAGTTGTGGAAGCCTTTGAGTGTGTCTGTGACCACTGTAGGTCAAAGACTGGTGCAGCTGAACCACTGGGGCAGAAGGAGCATATCCTGCGGGATTTCCTCCCACTGAAGTGAGTGTTTGCAGGATCAGGAAACCTCTCATTCAGAGAATCTTGTCTAAACTTTGTCTGAAGTGGTGCTTATAATTCCAGTATCCAAGAGTCAGTGCTCTGGAGACTGAGCGCTGACTCAGTCTCCAGATCAGCAACAAACCCCACAGACATCAGTCACCTTTATGAGCTAAAAGTCCAAAATTAGTTGAAAATAGCCTCTGCAGAAAGCTAACATTTGATTATGCACAAGTGAATGCACAATTGATGTCCATGTGGAACAGGAAGAAATTGTGAGCAGGTGAACTGCTTACGATTTAAGTGCAGTCATTTAATATCATTGTTTATATGTACATGAGGCCACAGTAAGAGATTTTTGACACTGCTGAGAAAAATGTGCATTCATCTGCTTGCTGTGAGAATGTAGATTCTCTGTTTAGCTTGTTCAAACTGAATATTAACTGAGCTGAATAAAAATTAAATGCAGTCAAATATGTCATTATTGTCATGAAATGAAAATTACGGGTAAAAGTAGATAGTGGCTAGATTCTTTTTATTACCCTGTCAGTCAACAAAGAAGTCTAGCACAGTCTATGCTTCTAACTGAATGATCCTTCTACTTCTACTTATAATGAATCTTGCAAACGATGGCAACATCTTACAATTTGTGGCAAGGTTTTATTTTAAAAATCCTGAAAAATGAAACCCTAAAGCAAGAATCCGTTGTAACATTCAAAGAAAACGATGGCAATAGATACTGAGTTCTGGAACTCTCTCATTTCTCACATAATTCTTTGTTGTTTCTATATGAATGTTGCATATGTAAGCCGCTGCCCACACGGCCTTTTTACAACAGGATTCTCAGTAAAGATTTTATTTTTTCTTTAACACCATGGAAATGGGATTATATTGTGGTGAGCATTGCAAGCTAAGCTGCTCCTTCATTCTGATGTCTGCAGCCACCCCCCACCCCCTTTTTAACAATATACCACACACATCCTGTCCCTAAAACACACACACACACACACGCACACACACACGCACCCCCCCCCCCCACACACACACACTTATTGTGGGATTGGAAGTTCATATAAAGGAGAGCACTTTAATAGAAATTTCCCCTCATATATGTATATATTATACTTTCCCACAAGTTTATTCATCCAAACTGGAGAAATAAAAAGATAAAAAGCAATATATTTAACCAAATTACATAAAAAGCTTAAGTGGATTTGTGATGTAACCCCAAGCTCAAAAGCTTGGTCTGTGAAACCCATCATGGTTTTCACAAGCTTTTCCCAATGATTAGCATTGGCTGGAACGTTGGCACATTCTCCAAATCAAAACCACATTCCTTCTGGCTCGACGTGCTTGTTCTCTCTCATGGAGTGTCTCTGTTACCAACCCAGCCATTTATAAACGTTTATGCCACCACAGTGGCTTAATCAAAGGCTTTCAAAAGAGGAACAAATTAACAGAAAGGTATTGAGCTTTTCTTAGGGACCTAATTTTGAAAACCACAGTATTCATGAAGCAGTGGTGTACAGTTTTGTTTTTATAGCTGTATAAACTATGAAGTTACCTTGTAATTTCATGGCTACGAACATACCAATTTTGGTGCACCAGTGTTGTTTGGGCTTTGTTTGTTTGCGTTTTTGTCAGAGAAATTATCCATGTTTTCTAAAACTGAGCTTCAGCTTTCACAGATGTGGGATATATATTTTTTTGTAAATGTTACAGATGTGTGGCAGGTGCATCACGTCCGCCGACGTTGGGAACTCATGCGCCTCAAACCTTTGGTCAGAATTTGTTGGCTGCAGCTGAAGTTAATGTACTGTACCAATGCATCTGGAACAGTATAAGTGCAAGTTGTGATGGTTTTAATGGGGCATTTAATTG